GTTATGACAGCAAGGAAAGAGGCAGCTGAGTGAATGGAGATAGCTCCATGGTGAATGGAGATAGCAACACTAGCTCCATGGTGAATCGAGCTAGCCACCAACTCATTGCTGGATGGAGCTAGCAACACTCACTCCATGGTTAATGGAGCTAGCCATTATTCTTAACAGGAAGTATCTCCGTCCCTCATCAATTAGACCTGCATGGCTACAAGCTAACAAAACAGCAATATAAGTGACCTCATTTTTAACGCCAAAATCAAGCATTTACTTGAATAATTCCAAAGCTCTTTTTGCAAAACCGTGTTTAGCAAAGCCTGTGATTATGGAAGTCCATGGTATTACATTCCGATCGTTCGATCATCCATTTGTTTGAAATCTTGAAATGCAACTTCTATGTTACCACACCTGGTATACATAGAAATCAAAGCATTAGCAACACATTGGTTAGACTCGAACCCGGATTTCAGCAATTGAGCATGTATCCGCTCTCCCTTACCAACTGCTCCAACACTTGCAGCTCCACTCAAGAGACTTTGCAAATCTAAAAGCATCAAGACCAACTCCCGGACCATCAATTTGACTATAAAGTTCAAAAGCATCGCCAGAATCCGAATTCCTAGCATAACCATCAATAAGTGCATTATAAGAAACCAAATTCCTCTCAAATAAAAATTCAAAAGCTTTCCGTGCATCTTCTATCCTATTAGTCTTAGCATACATGCCAATCAAAGAATTGCCAACAATATTAACTGATGCAAGACCCAATTTCACTACATGATTGTATATCTGTTCACCCAAATCTGCAATAAAAAGATTCCCACATGCCTTCAAAAGACTAGCGAACGTAAAATGATTCGGTTTCACTCTACTTTCTATCATCATCCTACAATACAACTCTATAGCTTACTTCTCAAAGCCTCTATTTTGCATATACCCTGTGATGATTGCTGTCCAAGACATGACATTGTGCTCTGGCATTCGATCAAAAACCTTCCTCGAATCATCCATTGAGGAATTCACCGCGCACTTTTCATACATATCCACTAAACTACACCCAACACAAACATCAAAACACAGCCCACTCTTGATGACCCAACGGTGAAGTTGCTGCCCAAGAAACAACCACCCCAATTCAGAACAAGCTGATAAAACACTACTAAATGTAAACCAGTCTGGTGTAAACCCAGGCAATACCATATCTGCATATCCCTAAACAACTCAATTGCATCCTACGGTATCCCCAATTGGGAACACCTCGTAATCATCAATGTCCATGAAACAGAATTTTCTCTCGCATTTCATCAAACACTTTTTTTGCTAACTCCACAAAACCCCTTTGCAAATAAATCCATAAATGCACACCCAACACAAACATTAGCTTCAAAATACCCAGATTTAAACACAAAACCTAAAATTTTTACCACCCCAACCCTCGCATATTCTTTATTGGAACAAGCTTGAATCACCCCTGAAAAGCAAAATTCATTCGGGCACTCCCCAAATTCCACCATTTCAAAGAACGTCATAATCGCCTGTAAATTCAAACCACTGTGCACGTAGCACAAAATCATTGCTCTCCATGAAATCAAATCTCTCTTATCTCCCTCCATACTTTCAAAAATTTCCTCAGCCGTTTCCCACGAGGAAATACCTGCAAATGGCTCAAAGAAAAGGCCATAATTCATTTTTGGCCTTTGACCAGAAAATATGTTAAAAAAAAAAAAA